ACCATCTCAGCCCGTTTCTTCTCCAATTCATGACCTTTTACGAAATCCTCCTCTCCTCCTTTCTCAAATTCAACTATTCCTCAACTCTCTCAAATTTCTTCAGATTTTCCTGATTATGTACCTTACCTTAACTTTTGTACAGAGTTATTTTTCTTTAGTTCCTCAACTAAATATATTTTTTTATTCTTTAATTATAATTTTTTTATCCAACCGTTGAAACCCGAAAAAACCACTTGACCCGTCCAACCCACCGAGTGAATTCACCACCTTGTCACTGCAACTTTTTTTTTTTTTCTCCTTCGACAAAGGGTTCAAAGTTCAAAGCTTAAATTTATTATCTTCAAGATTTGAACATGCAACTTCAACTTTTCAACAACCTTTGCCACTAGAGCTTCACCTGTAGAGTTGATTTCGTTTACTCAAAATTTTATTTAAGGAAAATATTATCTGAGGAATTCAACTTCCTTTGCTCTTTTCTAGAAAAATATTGTTGATTTTTATTTTAAAATTAATATAAAATTTATTTAATTTATATTTTAAATGTATAAATTAAAGTATAATAAATATAATTCTTTACAATAATTTACATAAAAATTAATATTTATTTTAACGTTATTAACATGTGTTTGGGGGGGTGTTGGTGATGTAGGTTGATGAGTCAGCAACGATGATGATATAGAGGTTGATTAAGATCAAAGTTATCAATATCGTACCGGCATATGTACCGATTTTGCTACTGGAACGGTACGTACCGGATATCAGAATTTTTCGTGTACCGTTTTGGATTTATCGGTATATAAAATTTTTGTGAAGAAATTCAAGAAAAATAACAAGAAAAGGACTCAATCGAAAAAATTAAAAAGTTGAGGATGAAATCTACCAAAACAAATCCACAAATCCACCCCAATATTGAGCCCATCAACAATTTTCATAGCCCAGCCCATCAAAACCCAAATTTAACAATAAAAGAAACCCTAGTTTCCCCTCTTTTAAAGTGTGAAAGAAACAGCAGACCAAAAAAAAAACACAGAAAACCTCTCGATTTTTCTCCCTTCTCCCTTTTGCAGATCTGCGATGGCCACCATCACCCTTGTTCCTTCACCTCTGACCTTCACCATCTCCCTTTTCCCTTCTGCAGATCTGCAACGGCCACCATCACCCCTGTTCCTTCACCTCCGATCTTCACCATCTCCCTTCTCCCTTCTGCAGATCTGCAACGGCCACCATCACCCTTGTTCCTTCACCTCCGACCTTCACCATCCTCTTGCTAGCTAATCGTCACGCTCATCTCACCAATCACCAAGAAGACGATCTAGATCTAGCCGAAAGCCCCTTGGGACTCTGACCTTGACATCTTCTTGCGTCTCATCATCATCATTGCCTCCACCTTCATCACCATTGCCTCCACCTTCATCACCGGTAAGGAGAGGGGTTCGGCAGCCACCAAAAAGGGAGGATCTCTCTTCTTCAAAAAAATCTGAAGTGGTTGTCACTTGAAGTGGTTGTTAACACTACCGGTACACTTGAATACTGGGCGGAATACCGAGATTTGACCGAAATGAGCGAAATTTGATCGAAACGAAATTAAGCTTCATACCGTTTCGGTGCAATGAAAAATCCGGTACATACCGGCCATACCGGCTGGTACGAAACGATATTAACTTCTTTGATTAAGATGCCACCCACGAATGATGAGGAGGGTTCTTTTGGCGGCACCCATTTCACGTGCAAGAGACAATGTGCCACTGGCTGTCTCATTTTGCCCAACGATGTTGATCAGCAATAAATTCCCCAACAAAGTCTAAAGGTGTAAGTTTTCTAACCAAGCTGAGAGGGAGAGCTGGCAGCGACGATAGAGTTCCAAGATGTCTAGCGATGTTGGTTGGCAATAAATTCTCCAACGAAGCCTGAAGGTGCAAGTTTCCCCGGTGAAGTCCGAAAATAGAGCTTCTCCAACAAAGACCAGAAATAGAGTTTCTCCAACAAAGACCGGAAATAGAGTTTCTCTAGTGAAGTTTTGAAGTAGAGTCTTTTTGGAGAAGTTTGGGAACAGAGTGCTTCTTCAGCGAAGTTTGCAAATAGAGCTTCTCTGGCGAAGTTCAGAACTAGAGTCTCTCTAGTGAAGTTTGGGAATAGAGTGTCTCCAGTCAAGCTCGAAGATAGAGTTTCTCCAACAAAGTTTGAAACTAGAGCTTCCCCAACGAAGACTGGAAATAAAATGTCCCCAGCCAAGCCAGAAAGAGTGGAGTGATGATGGTGCTCCCAAGATAACAACAATGATTACACAACTATCAAAAATAATGAAAATGAAATGTACATTACTGTAGGAGCAGTAAGAATAGAAAATATGTAAGGGTTAAAAATTACAACTTGAGAAGCACATTTTTGGATAGTATATTGTAATACAATAGTAAAGACAATGAATGTGCCCTCTATTATCCTTAACAAATACTTCTACTCTATAATAAGTAACCTTCACGTTGTAGATAAAAAGCACAATGGTCTCCTTCAAGCTTTAACAAGGAAAAAGGAATAAACTTGAAAGTAGTGATGGGAGAAGCAAGGATGACCGTTATGGGGGCTTGTGAATGGAGGGCTTGATCTTCTAATGCACAAGAAAATAATCCAGAAAAATGAATCTGCAATATGCTATCTCCCAACCATGATATTCTGTCTCCTAGCCATGATGTTCTACAAGTTTGGAAAATATTCCACAGTGCTGGAAGTGTAGAAAATGTAGTAAAAATGGTGATTTTTGGGTATTTTAGTGTATAAGGTGAGAGGTTGAAGATCAAGAAGTTTTCAAAGGAAAAATAGAAGTTTGGTACGTGAGGAAGAAAATGGAAGTGGAAAATATGGTCTGTTCTGTACGTCCCTCTGTTGAAAAATAAAGGAAAGATAATATATATATATATATATATGGCCAGTGGCATTTTCGTAATTTCTGGTTGATGGGTCAGAGGGGTACAAGTGGGCTTGGGTGAGTTGTCACGTTTTGGGTGGTTCTGGATATGACTGACAGCTTTCTAGCGATGGCATCATGAATTGCCCAATGGTTCTAGCGAAACTTCGCTAGTTCTGACGAAGGACTGGAAATTGAATATTTCTAAGAATTTCTCCCACCATACGAAATACCATTTTTAGGGGGATAATTGAGTGTAGCCAGCAAAATCAAATCTGGCCAATATTTTGGTAAATTTCCAAGGGCTGGCTGAGATATTGGAAGATTCCCAACGTCTGTCCAAGATTTTGGTAGATTTTCCCTATGAAGTCAGATCTTTTTCAACAGTTTCCAACTCGTGCAGCCACCCTTTTCAACAATTTTCAGCATTGTGCAGCCACTTTTGCATTAAATATGGCTGCAAATTGTTGGTGGTGATCGAAATAGTCTCCTTAGTTGGTTTTGAACAGGATTCCAAGCTTCTAGTTATCATCAAACAATACGGTTTTATGACCAAGCTCAGCCTCCACATCTTCACCACCCAACCCTTTCTGGTGAAGTCGGGCAACATTGCCAATGCCAAGCTTCACTGGTGTGAATACCTTGCTTCACCAGACATGCAACATTCACCCATCTATGCTTGCCAAACCACTACTCCCATAATTTATCTCGAATATTCCCATGAGCTTGGATTCATGGCTTTATTGATGACCTGCATAGAGGAATAGTGATCAGTTGATAAAAATGATGAAATTTAATAAATAAGGAAATAATAAAGGAAAGAGACTTCCTTATATATTTCTGGCGATTCAGCCATGTACGACAGCATCAGATATTATTGGGTCTAGTCATGTATTATAGCATTAAATACTGCTAGGTTTGAGTCCAAATTTAACCTTTTAAAAAAAATCATCCATCAACAACATGTAAATAATTTTAATTGATTAATTAATTAATTTAAAATCAATTTTTACAATTTTTATATAAATTAATTATAAAAAATTATATTTATTACACATTTAATTTGTGTAAGAAAAGTCTATTAATATATTATAGGTTAAAAACATGATAATATAAAATTTTATATTTATATAAATCTCAATTTTATAATTTTTTATATAAATTAATCATAAAAATTATATTTAGCATATTTTTATCCTATGTAATAAAAACCTATTATAAATTACATATTAGGAACATATTAATTAAATTTTGACATCTTAGGGCTCGAACCTCCATCTTTATTTTGAGCAACAAATTAATTAAATTTGGACATTTCTTAGGTTCGAATCTCCATCCTCATTTTGAGGAACAACACAACACACCACACCACTGGAACCATGTCAAATGTAGCATAACATTAAATTTATTAATATCTAATTGAATTAACGATTTTATCAGTTAAACCGATCAAACTGAAACTCAAAGGTCAAAACAATTTAACTTCTGGATCAGTTTTCAAAACGCTGGTTGAAACAATTTGGCTACTGCTTTGTCGCTTCCCATGGCGTTCTGGATGATTCCTCTGGTTGCAGCAGCGCAACATCTCCGTCCATAAAATGATGTAGGATGTTACTTCATTCCCTGCCCAACATGGAAACGTTCAAATGCTATTAGATTCAGAAATATGTACCGTAGCCGAGTTGCATCATCCACAATAATCATAGGAGGCAAGTATCCAACCCAACCCACTCGCTTTGAATTGAGTTGTGGGTATAAAATATTAATTTAAAATTTAATATGATTTAAATTAAAATTATTTAATTAAGTTGAGTTAATTTAAAGTAATTTAATTAAAATTAATTAATTTTTTAAATTTAAAATTTAATTAATTGTACTAACTTTAATTTTTAAATATAAAATAAAATAAAATATTATAAAATAGTTATTATTTATTATATTATTAGAATTAATATTAATTCAACATTTTTAACTAAATAATTAATTAATATTGAATTTTTTAAAGAAAGAAAGAAAAATTAATAAAAAATTTTAATTTTAAATTTTTTAAAAGTTGAGTTCATCTTATTCAGTTTAAAATCCATGTTAATGAATTATGAATTTAACCTTTTTAACGAAAATTTAAAATAATCAATTCAATAAACTCAAAATCTAGAGTGACTCAATACAAATCTACTCGGCTTATTTGCCATTCAACCCTTCCATTAAATTCTTACTAACAATGCACAATATTCTATTAAGTTATTCATTTTCTTAATTTTTTGAAAATTGCATGGAAATGCAAAACGTAAATATTCTTCTTACATTAGCATTCCAAGTAATCATATGCTCTAAAAATTATTAACTTTGGCTCCTTCTAAAAAGACTGAGTGGGTTTTTATTGAAAAAATAGCAAGTCTCGGCACCTAATTACAATGATTTCCAATGATAAATGAGCTTGCTTGCAGTTCTTCAATGAGAGAAAAAAACAAGTTGCTTGATTCAAACCACTTTTTTCTGTTTTCAAGCTAATAATTGAGGAGCAAGTTTGGAAGGGTGGTTTCCTGTTTTCCATCTGCATGCTTTCAAGCATTTCTGTTTAATATTTGATTATTATTTTCCGATCCTTTGTTGTTTTCCATTGTTGATTGGTATTTGATCTTGATATTTAAGGCCTAAAAATTGGATCCCAACAGCAAGCTTTTTGGTAATGAACAATGAATGAGCATACCCAATCAACCGGCTTTTAGCAATTTTAGGAAGATCCATCCATCATAAAGTTAAGGATTACTTGAGAAAGTGAAATCTAAAAAATTAACTATGAAAGCTTTGTGAAACTGAAAAATGGATATATTCTAGTATTTCAATGCAAAGGAAAGAAATACTCTAGTATTTCAAACCTCAACCCCCAAAATTTGCCACAAAGCTTTGTGAAACTGAAAAATGGATATATTCTAGTATTTCATTACAAAGGAAAGAAATACTCTAGTATTAGAGTATTTCAAACCTCAACCCCCAAAAATTGCCACATCTCTTCCATCAATTGAATTGAATAGATTTAGCAATAATTTCAGTTGATAAGCACTCTTAAGTGCTTTCCCCAATCACTGTTTCCATTTTCCTTGCCCATAGGCTGACTTACAACTAACTAAAAAATGTTTAGTACAATGTGGATTATGTCAAATCACACTAAATTAACCTTTAGATGGGTGGCAAGCCCCTTAATAATGGGTATTATCTCCCATTTGAAGGTTCTTTTTTTATAGTCCAAATTGTAAAAATGAAAATCCTAGTATATTATACCAGTAGACAAAGTTCAGATTAAAGCAGCAAACTGATTCAACAATCACCTAACAATCTGAATTATCAATAACAATATACTCTCTTAATTAAATCTGAAATTATAGGATCTTAAGCACTTCAGAGGATGAGAGAAGCAATCAAAAAGAGAGATAAGCAAGCCACTCACTTTAATCCGTAGCCGACATGACTTGTATAAGTTTGGTAATTTTTTCTGCAACATCATTGCCAGTACTGAAAACCAACTGATTCCTACAAAGCCACAGGAACCACAGTCACCACACCACTAAAACCAAAATTTCATCCAAGCTTCCCTCATTATTCGACTAGGTCTCAGGCCTTCATCCACTGCCACTTCTATACATTTATAATACACAGCGTCTAGATGACTTCATCCTCATTGCTATATATATTATTAAATTTCAAGAACTTTTGCAGTGGCAGACATAGTTGTGCTGCTCCTTTCAGCAATCGAGTGCATCTGTGATCTGACATGAGACTGTTTAGATTATCACACACAGTTTATTGAAGATGTGAATGAGTCGAGAGAATATTTGGAAGAAGTAAACAGAAGAAAGCAAGATATCGAATCAAGAATAAGAAAAGAGGTTGGTGACCAAGGAATGCTAAAGCTAGAGGTGGAAGGTTGGCTTAAACGTGCGGTAGAGATCAATGGTGAAATGCAAGCTCTTTTAGAAAGATGCAAACAGTTAAATGGTACTCGCGGGCATGTTTTGGAAAACATGTTCGTCATAAAACTGATGAGGTAAGGGAGATCTATGAGAAGGGTGAGTTTACTAGTGATATTGCAATTGATAAACTTGAAAATCGAACCCATTTTCTCTCAATTCCTGTCACAAGTAATTTAAAGATTGATCTTGTAAAAAAAGCACAATTTTATCTGAAATCGAAAATTTATGTGGCTACGTACTTGACAGACAGGTCAGGAAATGATGGGAATAAAAGGGTATGGAAATGGTAGAATCAATACTCTGGGTTATTATATAGTAAACCACTCAGTGTGCCAAATGACAACACTAGTCATTGCCTATGCTATGGGACTTATTCTGGAAACTGGAAAATGAAGATTTGGTGTATTGTATTTGTAACGTTGATGGATATCATGTGGAAGTCCGCTAATTTTAGAACATTCTTTATATATATATATATACCATCAAGGATGTTTGTAGATTAGTTTTCTCACATCACAAGATTAATTTCTCTTTAGGTGATTTTAAAGTCATATCTTCTATAAAACAACACTCAATCCAATCCTTGGAGTTAAATTATAGAACATTCTACTTTTCTTACTGCAATACTATAATTATAATATTATGTTGAATTATAAATAGTGTTGGCATATTTATGCATATGAGAAACAACCATCAACCCCTTCTAGCTAGAAATAAAAATACATTTAAATGCATAACGGCTCTAAGCATTTCTTCAGCTTATAACAATGGTATTCATAGAAAACTATTGATTGGGACGCCTATAGCTTGCCTGAAAACACAATACCAAAACAAATTCACCAAATTATATATGGCTACCACATTTGAAGCTTGACAGATTACCTAATCAGGAAAATTAGCTAGCTTGGAGAAAATCCTTACCATTTCTCTAGGAACAGCTTTCTGGTGACAAGATAGTGCATGGAGCTGCATCGCCAAGCATCTTGACCACGTCTCTCATGGTAGGGCGCAGGTTAGGAAGTTTGGCTGTGCAAAGAACAGCAATCTTCAAGACCTTAATCATCTCATCTTGGACTGTTTGTGAGGCTACTTCACGGTCAAGAATCTTGAGGACATCATCCCGGTTCCTGAGATGAGATAAAACCCAGTATACAATATCCTTCCCTTCTCCATATGCATCTTCAATGGGTCTTTTGCCTGTAACCAATTCTAGTAGCACCACACCAAAACTATAGACATCACTCTTCTCTGTGATTTTCCGAGTATATGCCAGCTCTGCAGAGGATTATTAAAGTCCAAATATCAGTAACAGCTCCATACAAATTCATAGTCACTTTAAAAAACACTTAGGCAACAAATTTTTCATAAAAAAAATAGAACACTCGAGACCATAGAACATGAACAAACCCCAATTGACATGTAATGATTCTCATTCCATTTCTTCCGAACATTTCACTTGTTTCACAAAGATGCAAGACTTAAGCCAATAAACTAAGTGTGTGCACAAGAATTATTTTTATTGCTTGCGTCCTCTAACATGACACATGATCTTAACAACTGAGCATTGGTACCGGGAAATAAATGACAACATTTATTAGAAAATAAGAACGTACCTATTTTGCTCAACACTGAGAACAGAGTATGATAAGGGCATGCTAACAATGTCATGAAACTTAAATTTCATTGAAAGTCTCCAGGTGCCAAAGATCAACCAGATTTATATATTAAACCTTTTCATATGTGAAAATTTAAAATTATCACTGACCTGAAAAAGAAAAAAGGAAAAGGAACAGTTTATACTCACCAGGAGCAATGTAACCATGGGTTCCGGCGAGACTGCTGGAATCAGATCCCTCAAGAGATTTTTCTGCTATCTTTGCAAATCCAAAATCAGCAACTTTTGGCTCATAATCCTCATTAAGTAAAATGTTGCTTGATTTTATATCCCTGTGAATTATAGGAGGTAAGCAATCATGGTGTAGATAAGCAATGCCCTTTGCAGCTCCTAAAGCAATTTTATACCTCCGATACCAATCCAATTCTGGCACCCCACCTTTGATCTTTCTATGTAGTGCTTCAAAAAGATTACCATTTGCCATGTACTCGAACACCAAAAAGCTTGACCCTCCTTTCAATAGAGAAGCGTAGAGCTTAAGTATGTTCCTGTGTCTGATTTTCCCCAAAATGTCCATCTCAGCTGCCAACACCTTCACACCATCACCTTTGCACAATTTTTTAACAGCCACTGTACCACTGTTTTTCTTCAAATCCAGCCGATAAACTCTCCCAGTGCTGCCACTTCCAATCAGCTTGTTTTCCTCCAAATTACATATTTCATCTGCATCAATTTCCAACTGGTGAAATGATGCAAGTTTCCATTTTGGATCGACTTCTTTCTCTCCGTCAGAATTGCTTTCCAAGTCAACTTCACTGAGCTTAAAGTTCCTACAACTCACGAGTAGCACTTCGGCTAGAACAAGCAGAGCAGCTGCTACTATTAAGAACAAGACCAATTTATCTTCAAATACTCTTTTCTGTCTATGTTCTTTATTGCAGGCATTCAACACAGAATTTCCAAGGGTTTTGGAATCTTGTTCAATACAGAGTTCCTTGTTCCCAAGAAAAGCTTTATCTCCACCCATGGTTAAGAGTGCAGATGGAACAGTTCCTGACAACAGGTTATCAGACAAATCAATAGAACTTAGCTTCAACTGCTGGAGACCTTCTGGAATTGAACCTGTAATTTTGTTTCCCGAAAGATTCAGAGAGTTCAACGAGCTCATGAGTGAAAGTGTCTGTGGGATATTACCACTTAAAGAATTCCAAGCAAGATTCAAGTCCACCAACCTGGCACAATTACCCAGCTCTGAAGGTATCGATCCTGTTAATGAGTTTCGCTCCAGATGTAATGAGTTTAACAGCTTCAGTGCCCCAATATCCCCAGGTAGATTGCCTGAGAATTCATTGTTGCTCAGTTGTAGATTTTCTAGCTTTGCCAACTTGCCAAGTTCTGCAGGAAGGACACCTGAAAAGCTATTATTTTGCAGAATCAATTGATTCAAGCTAATGGAGAGACCAATGCTGGGGGATATCCCTCCAATAAAATCATTATCACCAAAGTCAATAATGTTAGCAAGTGGCAGTCCCCAAACTCCATCCGAAATCTTTCCAGTCAGATGGTTCTTGTTGATTCTGAACCTTTGCAGGGTTTTACACTCACCATAAGAATCTGGCAACTGTCCAGAAAAGTTGTTTTGTAGAGCAAGTAACAACCGTAGCTTCCCACCTCCACATAAGAACCTGGGAAAGCCACCTGAAAACTGATTCTCTGATATGTCAAAACTGTCCAGCGGTGCAAACCTGCCAAAATTTGCAGGAAATTTCCCAGAAAAGTTGTTCCTATAGAGAGATAACCCAATCAGTTGACGCATATCCCCGAATCCTGAAGGGAATTCTCCAGAAAAGTTGTTTCCATAGCACTGAAAAACTGTCAAATTCTTCAAGTTGCCAATCTCTTCTGGCAATTTCCCATACAGCCTATTAGAGGATATATCTATTTCCCTCAAATGAGTAAGATTTGCAAGCCCCACCGGGATTTCCCCTGTTAAATGGTTCCTAAAGAGTTCAATCTGGACAAGATTTTGCATATTGGAAATTGATTTTGGGAAATTCCCAGATATCTTGTTCCTGGACATATCCAATACCTTTAAAGCCTTCAGTTCAGAAATAGACTCTGGAATCTCTCCGCTTAAGTTTGATTGAGCTAGATATAACCAAGTCAAGTTCTTCAAGTTCCCGATAGCCTCTGGAATTTCACCCTCATCAAAATCATTATTCCCTATACCTAAACGAATCAGGCCAGTTAAGCTCACCACCCAACTAGGAAACTTGCCAGAAAAGTAATTTATGGACAAATCAAGAGACTCCAAGTTCTTCAACACAGAAAGATCCGGTATACTTCCCACCATATAATTCAAAGTGAGATTCAATACTCTGAGTTTGGTACAATTAATTATCTGGGGAGGGAGCTTCCCAGAAATATTGTTACAAGGCAAGAAAAGGGTTGTAAGACTATCAAGGACAGAAATGGCTGGCGAAATCTCACCAGCAAGAAACTTGCCCCCAAGAGAGATCTCCGTGACCTTCCCGGAAAATTGATCGCAAGTAATTCCCGAGAATTTGCATGGAGACTCCGATTCTTTCCAAGAATCTAAAACATTCAAGGGGTCTCTAAGCTTACTCTTGAATTCCAAAAGGGCTTGAGTCTCAACAGGAAGTGAGAAAACTGACGGAAAAAGAGAAAACAAAACAGAAAACAAGACTGAAAAGGAACATAGAGCGTGGAATGAGTAGTCTAACATTGTGAGAACGATCCAGGGTGAAACTGTCATTCAAAGCAACAGCTCGGAAACTCCATTATTGACAAAGCTCAACATCCTGGATCCAGCTGAAAAAGAAAACCAAAAAATAATTTATTCAACAGAATTGAATAGATTAGTAACAAAATCACTACTCAAATAAAAAGTCTGTTTAGGTTAGATCGGCTAACATGTGACGTTGAGATGTCAAGTTTGTTTCTAGCTGTGGATTGTTGTGGTGCTAAAGAAAACGAGACTCTGCTTTAAAGTTACTCATAAATTTGCATCATACCCTAACAGAAAAAGAAAAGAAAAGAAACAGAATAAAAAGGTAGATTTCCTCAACAGAATTCATTAAGTTTTAGTCAATATCACTTTTAATCAAATAACAATTAATCCAAATAAGTTACACATAAAGCAGCTTTTGAGATTGGAATGTCTCCAGTATTGGGGTCTAATTCCGACTTCTAGGATTCTTTTGCTATTATTTAATGAATTAATAATGCATCATTAGCAAATAAAATAAGCACTTTTTGGTAAATAAGCACTAAGATAGAGTGGTTATAGTTTCGCACACTATTTTGTTAAATCAGATTTTTCTTTTTATGAATTATTTTTAACTATTAAATTAAGAAAATTATTTTATCATTAACTAACTACAGTCATGAGTTATTTTTAACTATTAAATTAAATAGAATCAGGAGTTCAAAAAACAGGTGATGTGGACTTAACCATGCCCGCACTAAAAGCAAATGTTTAAACTGTTTGATCTGATTCCCAAGGAATGATATGTGTACCTGATTATGGACGGGTTTGGGAAAATATGAAACTGGGTTTTCTTCATCTGCTCACCTCAAGCTACTCAAAATTTGAATGGACAAACCCAAAATATAATTGCAAAACCAAATTTCATAGATATCAGTTGGGGAAACGTAATTGTTCTCAATGAAAACCAAGAATTCAGAAGATTATCAAAAACTTTTGAAATAAATGACACCAAACTTTGTTTTCCAGGAAATAAAAATCTGGACTTTCTCGAGAAATGGCTAAGATTTTTGGAAATAGTGTACCCACAAGAAACTGAACTGACAATATCTATGAAGTCAAGAAGAAGCGAAAGACTTTACCACTCAGAAAAGCATCTGTTTGTGTTTGGCAACTGAGAATTTCTCCTAGGAAGGGACTGAGGGGAGGTAGATGGAGGGGGGACGAACTCTCACCAAATCCTTCATTT